CACCTAAAATGTTTTATTTTCCTATCTGAAACTACAACTTATTAAAATAACTTCTGCGAAAAAATTTTGCGATTTGAACCAAAGACGATTTTTTTATAATTTTTTAAAAACGTTGAAATTTGCCGCCATTTTGGCACACCATTCGACTTAGTCTTCTTGCGGGGTATGACGTACTTTAAGGAACACGTGACTTTATCGACAGAAAAACATTAAAAGTTCTGGTAGGTTTTTCTGTTTCAGAAAAACTTTCTTCTTGCGAAGACATTGTGATTCAATCCTTACTTGTAATTGATCTTTTTTGTGTACAGCTGGTGAAGGAAAGGTAATGCGAGTTCCTTAATTTACGTCACATGACGTCATATATGAGCCTGCTAGTTTGCGTGATCAGCGGCGCGGGTGTACCGCAAAAATGTGGACTTCAAAAATTGGTTAAAAAATCGCGTTTTGTTGAAATGGCAAAATTTTTTCGCAGAAGTTATTTTAATAAGGTATAGTTTCAGATAAGAAAATGTAAAATTTTCGGTGATGGGCACTTTAAGTTTAGGTCAGTTTATGAATTGTTTTCTTGTAAGCAAGACAATCAGGGTTTTCTCGTATTCGCATATCAATTATCGCCCTTAGCGAAGGATAACGATGTACTTACTCGTTTTCACGTGTCCCAAGCACTGTCCTTACGCTTTGCGCTTTGCGCATGGTATCTCGTGAAGGAAGCTCTGTCACCAATCATTCGCGCCTCGCGTTTTGCTTCCTTCCCATGACGCTTGGCCCTGCAAAATAAGCCGAACACAAATCCAAGTCTTTTCCGTGGGCAAATATAGATGCCATCTTAGTCATTTTTGGGAAAATGTAATTTTCGCGATCCCATTTTAGTAACTTTCTGTTTTCTACTTTTTAAAGCCTTTTAACTACAGTAGGTCATCCTGAAATGAATTGACACATTGGTTTAACCCTTTAAGCCCTAAGAGTGATCAGCGTCAAATTTCTCCTTGTAATATCACTGCTTTGTAAAACACAGTGGTCATGAGAATTGAGGGCCTGATCACACAAGATGAATCTAATTGATACTTCAACAAATTCTGCCCACTGCTTCTATTGAAAACATATAGGGACAACAAATGAGAATTTCAATTTTGATATTAGGGTTTAAATGGTTAACTTAAGTAGAAACGTATAACAATATAGATAAGCGTAGCCACTCTGTAATAGAAAAAAAGGCTGGGAAATAAATATTTACCTCTTAAGTAACCCTATGTGATATGCAGTTATTTGTTTTGTCATACCAATTCAGAGATATTAAATATAAGTAATCCATTCTACTAGGCTTGGAACCTGACAATGTCTAACAATAATGCAAATCGCTTACGTTCCAAGCACTAGCTAGTAATTGTACAACTCTTTGTGTTTCAATTTATTCCCTAAGGCAATCTATTTCTCTTTTCTTTTACGGTCGTTCCCGTATTTCTGCTTTGGCTCGATATGTTGATGTAAAAAAGTAGTTGAGATCAAAACTCATGAAAAACAGAGTGGAAGTAGGAGAGGCAGACTGAGGTGTTTTGAAAAAAGATTAGCTCCTTTTGAGTGCGTCCTGCGATTAATTATCTCATTTAATACATCGTTTTCCTTAAGTGTTGGACGTTGAAAGCAATCTAAATTGTTGAACTGTTCTTTGGTGCGAGAAGTGCAATGAAAACGTTCTAGGCCCGATCGATGTTTTTCGGATTTTCACTAGATGGTAAGTGCTTTCGTGACATTGTTAAAGGTTGTTTTTCACTGACGTCGGAGTCCTGGAGGGGGAGGGAGGGTACTCCCTATAATGACTTATACGGGGAGGTTCCGCCCGAAAGGGGGTACCTCTTGTAGGCTTAAGCCCAAGAGGTTAGGGATTTCACTATTTGTGGTATATGAAAGGGTAGGGAAAGCTGTTCCGTCCGTAAAAGGACCTAAAAGGGCTAACAGAAGGATTTTGTGGCTGTGAGGGAGACAAGAAAACTTCCTGGTTTCGTGAGTACTCCCCTCCCTTTGTCGAGGGTAAGAGTCAGAATCGGACAATGTTAGTTATTGTCAAAGAATAAAGCAACTTGATCTAGCTTTTAATATTAGTAATTATTTGATTGATCGTGTTAAGGAAGCTACTTTTCTTGGTGTAATTTTGGATGAACATTTAACATGGAAATGTCATATACATAATGTTGCTCGGGAAGTGTCTAAAGCCATAGGTATAATTTATAAATCAAGTTTTTGCCTTAATAATTCCTCCTTACGGATGCTTTATTTTAGCCTTATCTACCCATACTTATTCTACTGCGTGAGCGTCTGGGCATCGACCTACCCATCAAACATCAGAAGATTAATCACACTTCAAAAACGGGTCTTAAGAATAATGTCGAGGAGTGCTTTCGATGCTCACACTGATCCCTTATTCAAAAATTTAAAAATTCTGAATCTTGAGAGTATCTACAAACTTCAAATAGGAAAATTTATGTATCAATACAAATCTGGCTTACTTCCTTATAGCTTCAATAATATGTTTTTGGTGACACGCCAGGTGCATTCTTATGGCACTAGAAGTTCGGAGCTTTCTAAAATCCTAAATTATTTAACTCTCTTAGTTTTGAAATTCGAAATGCAACAAGTACCGCTTCCTTTTGCTGTAAGCTGATAAGCTGAAAGCATTCCTCTTACCATAAATAGTAATTTATATTTTTTAATTTTTTTTGTTTGTTTCTGGTTTGTTTGTTTTTTTGTTTTTGTTTTGTTTTGTTTTTACCTTTGCTCTTTTATTTTCATTTTTTTCTTTTTGTCATTTCGCTTTTTTTAGCCCAAAACTATAATTAGTACGACTATCTAATATATTTTAAGATTTACTGTAGCTCTGCCATTGATTTCCCATGTGTAATTATGATAATATTTTGTTCTAATTATTTAACTGAGGGAGCCCATTCCTTATAAGCCCGGTGGCTTCTCTTGGGCTTCCTCGCCATGAGAGTTTAAATGATTAGATTTTTTTGCTTTGTACAACTTACGGCAAAACAATAAAGTTAAGTTAAGTTAAGTTAAGTCAGCTGCACTTAATTAGAGAAGGAGAATATTCGGTCTCTGTTGGTTTTTTGTGAACGTCAACGATTCCGGAAACGTTTGAGCTGGCCTTTTTAACCCTTTAAGCACCAATATCGACATACAAATTCTCCAAATTGGTCTCTATACATTTTCATATTGAATACGTAAAGAGAATTTGGTATAGGATCAAAGTATTATCTCTTAGGCAATTATTTCATTACTTCTCACAACCTTTTCTCTTGATTGTCTATTGATTTTGTCGGAGAAAATTAATGTTTGTCAGTTTTGGGACTTAAAAGGTTAATGTCTTTCATAAATCTATATATCGTTTCTGTTCCCTTTATCATGCTTACTTACTACTCCCAAATTACTAGACAACACGTAGTATTAAAATTCAAATTGCATCTTTTAAAGCTGTGGTTTCACGCTCTGATCGTGCTTTAGAAAGGTTTCACAGATTTCACTTTGTTGTTAACCATTGTTTTGTCTCCAGGTTTCAAAATGATTGTCATTTACGGTACTCACGCGCTGAAGCTGGCGCGACAGGGACTCTAACATAAGCGTTCCGTGATTGGTTCCTTAGAAGATAAAAAGCTACAAGGCTTGATTGAATGGTACATATTTGCCACTCAGGTCATAATGTATCTCAAGTAACTCTAATTGTTACTGGATCTTACAATTATTTTCAATCCTACCAAGAGAGTTTCTGTTTAAATTTGAAATACCATCCAGTTCACACATTTTATCACACAAATCTTACCCCGGGGAAGGTCATTTCTGGGAATCATAAACCACAACGAAAACAATAACAAATAACAACCCTCTCACAAAGAGGCTCTTTGATTGGTTCATTCTCTTTTGAGATTCCGGGAAACGCTAAACATAGACAATCACAAGACTTCATTGTTCAGTGTGAACTGCTTCAAGGGTCACAGCTCACTTGTGGTTGACGACATCATGGACCTAACAACTTTGTTTCACAATCTTCGTGAAGAAGTGTCTTGTTCGGTGTGTTCGGACTTATTTACGGATCCTAAACATCTCTCCTGTCTGCACAGTTTTTGCTTAAAGTGTTTGACAGGATGGTACGAAACGTGCGGCGGCGGAGAGGCCATTAGATGTCCGAAGTGTCAAACCCTCAGTCAAGTTCCTGCAAGCGGTGATCTTAAAGATCTTCCGACCACCTTTTTTCTTAACGGCTTAATCGACGTTCTTGCCATCAAAGAATGTTCAAATACTCAAGTGACATGCGGCAACTGCGATAAGAAGAGTTCGGTAGCATCATATTGTTTCCAGTGTTGCATATTTTATTGCGAAGAATGCTTAATCGGTCATAACATCATGCGGAACAAAAAGGAACACCGCGTTTTGAACCTCAAAGAGTTTCAAGACAAAGACTACGAGGATGTATTGAAGCGACCAGTATTTTGTTCAAGACAAGGACACCAAAAGAAGAAGCTTAAATTATTTTGCAAGGAATGTGAAACAGCAGTTTGCCAAACTTGTGTTATGCTAGATCACAATGGTCATAAGTTGACGCTGATCGAGGAAGAAGCTGAGAATCAAAGACTCGAGATAAAAACTGTTATCGAAACACAACGACATAACTTAGACGAAAAAATGAACGTAGTCGCTCAACTAGATGAAGATTACGCTAAAGTGATTCAACAGAGCGAAACTTTGAAGGGTAATGTCCAAAAATTTGCTGATGGATTGATAAAAACAATTCAAGCAAAAAAGCAAAATATTATTGACGCGGTCGAAAACCAAACGAAGAAGTCACTTGAAAGTTTAACAGCAAAAAGAGGTGAGATTCAGCGTCAGATAAAGATTATTGAATCATCACTGGAAGAAGCTGATAAACTTTTAAAACGAAGCACCACCGCGGAAGTTGTTCAGCTTAAAAAAACACTGGAAACAATCTTTGAGGGAGTGAATGAGAGAGAGCCTATTGTTCATGATTCCAGAAGTCTGCAAACTTTTGTTTTTGTAGAAAATCAGAAGATGCATGATATTGTCAACAGCGAAGATATTGGATTCTTGGAAGGACCCGCTTATAGAACAAAAGCACGTGAATCTTTGGCTGAAGGTGAAGGACTGAAAGAAGGGACTGTTGGACGTAAAGCTCAATTCAATTTGATCACAAGAAACGCAGAGAGAAAGCAGGGATATGATAAACGGGATCAGGTAACGGTGGAGATCAAGGACGAGCAAGAACAAGAATGCGTGACGGAAGTGCGAATAGATGACAACAAAGATGGGACCTACAACGTCATGTATTATCCCAGAAAACAGGGGACATTGAAAATATTTGTCAGAGTAAACGGGGAGGATATTTGTGGTAACCCTTGTACTGTGACAATAAAACCATTTCATGTCAAACCTGTTTTATCTTTTGGAAAGGAAGGCTTGGGTGATGGAATGTTTCGGTATCCTTTTGGGATTGCTGTGAATGACAAAGACGAAATAGTAGTAGCTGACTATGGAAGCCATCGGGTTCAAGTGTTTGACAGTAATGGTACTTTCTTAAAATCTTTTAGCCACGAAGGTCAAACTCCTGTAGAGTTGAAGGGTCCTACAGGAATTGCCATTGATAAGGACAGAAATATTTTTGTAGCAGAGTATGATAACCATAGAGTACAGATCCTTAGTTGGGAGGGGAGGCATCTGGGATCATTTGGCGGGCAAGGAAGTCGTAATTGTCAGCTCTACCAGGTTCGGGGTTTATCCTTAGATAGTACTGGTAATGTTATTGTTGCTGATACAGGAAACAAAGTGATTAAGATCTTTACTCCGGATGGTAGGTTTGTAATGAACATAGGTGGTCAGGGTTCTCTTGGTTTTCCTGTTCACTGTGTTCAGTGTGGTGAATATTACTTTGTGTCAGACTACGCTGAACATTGTATCAAAGTATTTAACAGGGAGGGGCATTTTCAGTACAAGATCGGTAAGCAGGGGAAGGGGGACGGGGAGTTTAATGATCCGTGGTTTTTGTCAGTGACTCAGTCAAAGCACCTCTTGGTCTGTGATCGGAGTAATCATAGAATACAAGTCTTCGAACTAGATGGAAGGTTTGTTGGCAAATTCGGTGCAAAAGGCAGCAACTTAAGAGAAGATATTGCGCCATTCTCGGTAGCTGTTCTCAGTAATGACCAAATTGTGGTATCTGAGTACAATAATAATCGAATTCAAATATTTGAATGACATCTGATCATTTTTTTCCCCTTAAATAATGCCAAGCATCACCAGTCTTTTTTTAAATTTTTTAAGTATAGTAGGATAATACGTCATTTTGAACATTATTTTTAGATTCAAACGTTTTTTTTTTTTCAGTGTATGAATTGTTTTCTCGTAAGCAAGACAATCAAGGTTTTATAAAGTTCACGTATACATCGCCCTAAGCGACGGATTGCGTTTCAGGCGACCCACGCTTTGCGCATGGTATCTCGGGAACTATGCTCTGTCACCAATCTTCCGCACCTCGCGTATTGCATCCTTCCCATGACGCTTTGCTCTGCAAAATAAGCCGAATACAAATCCCAAGCCAACTTCTTAGGTTTATTAGGTCTCAGTATTAATTACTCCTACTGTAAGAATTGTTGAAAATATTAAGTGATTTATTTCATTTTTATTGGATGTTAAGTTACTTTGATTAATTAACGAATAAAGAATTAGTTTTTAGTAGCTTTTACAATGCTGCAATACTCTGTGCAAGTCATGCAATGATTTAATCTTGGTTTTGTTGTTATTGCTATTGTTATTGAAAAACTGCTAGCTGGGTATCATACAGTTGCATATATATATAAACATGTTAAACATTGATCAAACTGAGTAACGGACTTCTTAATTTGCTCGGGCAAGCTGAGTGAAACTATTTATCAGTATAGAATAAGACAAAACGTTAAAGCTGCTCGCTATTCTTTATGCTCCACTGTTTGTTCTTCAAGGCCATTTTGAAAATCCTTCGAAGTCACTGTAGTTTTTTGGCTCTTGGTCGGTGGGTTGGTGTATAGTAGAAAAAGGTTCGGAAATAATTGAAAACAAAATACTGGAACATGGAAAGGCACCACGTTTTTGGTTACTTTGAAGTAACTCTGACCATAATCTGTGACACCGTAACTTCTGTAGCAGTCGAATTCATTTAATTGGTCATTTAATGGGTCCCGATTTATACTGTTCATCTCCCACGATAATATATCAGGTGTTTTAGAGATGTGGAGAAAATCTGCTGAAATAGAGAGACTTTTTCACTTGGACTGAGATGGGGTGTACACGTTAACTGTTAAGTGTGATCTGGAGTAGCAAATTTGAGCCTCTAGACGGGGTAGGGGTGCCCAGGCCCTAACGGAACACCCACGCCCAAAATTTCGGGGAGAACCCCTCCTGAAATGAAACCAGTTTTTAACTTAGCTTCCCTTATCTCTTTTCTCCTCTCTCGACCGTCTTTTCTTTCGTTTGAGCTTTTATGTTCTCTTTACTCTAATTCAGTCTGGTTGGTGGGATTGTAGTGAGGGAGAAAACAGTGGGCGCGGGGAATGGGGGGTGGGGGGAGGGGTGGTGTGGGGAGGGTGTGGCTGTTATAAGAATGAAAATAAAAACAGCTAGCATTCCTCGATTGGTTGTCGTTCCGGAGGAATTAACAAAAGTTTCAGATCTAATCTTCTTTTGTAAACGAAACCAAATGTAGAACAGCACCAGAGTACTGGGGAAGAGTTTCATTTGAATGGCCATGTCGTAAGATTTCGTCCACACACTCAATAGTCAGATCAACATAACATGTCTATTTTAATTAACTGTGTTAAGTAACCTATTAATTAAAACACCTTCATAAGCGGATGAACTTAAAAAATGGCTTAAGGACATTAACTGACTTGCGATACACATATCGCATTTCCATCAAGTGAAAATTTAATCATGCAGTAATAATCTACACGAACAGATTTCCACGTTGGTCATTGACCCACCGTTCGGTTTGTTTGCCTGCATTATGTCCGTACAATAGCAATCGGATGGTAGGTTTCCTTAATGCATTAACAGATTTGTTGAACATTCTAACAATACTCACATTGTAATCTTGTCGGTTACTGTTCTACAACTGGCGTTTGTTTTACCAACACTAAAACATTTTTTGAATACTTCTCTTGGCTCGAACATCCAATCAACAAAAAGATGCATAAAACTGTTGAATTGGCAGTTATCCTTCGGTATCGTAGAGGAATTTCTCTGTGACAAGTGGACTTTTCACTCAAGAAAACACGCAATTGGAAATCAGTAAATCGAAATACCGGAATTTCTAATCAATAGTGTTTGTGCTAGTCTATAAACAAATGGCCTCCAGTCAAAGGTGTATCATTCTCACTAATGAAAACGTATTACCATACCCAAAAACAAAGGAAAATAAAATTTAAACCAAGGACAAAATTGAACCACAACATACACATCGTTTCCCTGTATCATGCTTATTACTCACAGTACGCCGCGCATTATTAAAATTAAATTTAAACTGCATCTCTTGAAGCCTGTGTATGGTTTTCACGCCATCGTGCTTTACAAAGGCTTAATTATTCGGAAACGGACTTCGCTTTGTTATTGACCATTATTTTGTCTCCATTTTTCATAAAGATAATCATACCATTACGAGCTGATGCTAACGCGACAGGAACTCTTACAACAACAGAGGTCCGTGATAATTTGATATTGTTTGGCAAGGCCTTCCCCCAGTTTGTTTCCGAAGAAAGGTAAAGTCAGGTAAAGGTAGAAAGCTACAATACTTGATTGCTCGGTGTAGATTTTAGAGAGTTACCTTGACGGCTATAATGTATCTTAAATAAGTCCTATTGAAAGTGGATATTACAATTATATTCAATCTCTTCTAAACAGTTTCTACATTAAATCGATTTGAAATACACGTTCGCATCTTTCATCAACAGGTCTTAACAGTAGGTGAATGAGTTGGCAGCACATTTCTGGGAATCATAAGCTACGAAAACAATATAATAACCCCTTTACAACAGTACTCTGATTGGTTCATATGCTTTTGGGATACCGCAAAAAGCTAAACATAGACAATCACAAGACCTCATTGTTCAGTGTGGACTGCCTCAAGGGTCAGTGGCTCAGTCACTTGTTCTTGAAAATATCATGGATCTTGCAACATTATTTTACAATCTTCGTGAAGAAGTGTCTTGTTCGGTGTGTTCGGACTTATTCACGGATCCAAAACATCTCTCCTGTCTGCACAGTTTTTGCTTAAAGTGCCTGAATCGATGGTACGAAACGCGTGGCGGCGGAGACGCCATTAAATGCCCGAAGTGCCAAACGCTCAGCAAAGTACCTGCAAGCGGTGATCTAAAAGATCTTCCAACCAGCTTTAACTTGAATGGCTTAATCGATGTTCTTGCTATTAAAGAATGCAAGAAGACTCAAGTGACATGCCGCAACTGCGAAAAGAAGAGTTCAGAAGCGTCGTATTGTTTCCAGTGCTGCATTTTTTACTGCGAAGAATGCTTAATCGGTCATAACATCATGCGAGACAAAAAGGAACACCGCATTTTGGCAGTAAAAGAGTTCCAAGACAAGGACTATGAGGATGTATTAAAACGACCAGTATTTTGTTCAAGACAAGGACACCAGAAGAAGAAGCTGAAATTATTTTGCAAGGAATGTGAAACAGCAGTTTGCCAAACTTGTGTTATGCTAGATCACAATGGTCATAAGTTGACGCTGATCGAAGAAGAAGCTGAAAGTCGAAGGCTCGAGATAAAAACTGTTATTCAAACACAACGGCAAAATTTAGACAAAAAAATTAAAGAAGTGATTCAACTGGATGAAGATTGCGCTAGAGTGATTCAACAAAGCGAGAATTCAAAGAAAAATGTCCAAAGGTTTGCTGATGGGCTGATTAAATTAATTCAAGCAAAACTGCAAACAATTATTACCACGGTGAAAAACCAAACAGAGAAGTCACTCCAACGTTTGAGAGCAAAGAGGAGTAAGATTCAGCATCAGATAAATGTTATTGAATCATCACTGGAGGAAGCTGATAGACTGTTAAGACGAAGCACCGCCGCAGAAATTGTTCAACGTAAAAAATCACTACAGACAATTTTTCAGGGTGTTGATCAGATGGAGCCTATTGTTCATGACCACAGTAGTCTGCAAGGTTTTGTTTTCGTAGAAAATCAGAAGATGGTCGATATTATCAACGTTGAAGAAATTGGATTCTTGGAAGAACCTTATCAAACACAAGCAAGTGAATCTCTGGCTGAAGGTGAAGGACTGAAAGAAGGAACTGTTGGGCGTAAAGCTCAATTCAATTTGATCACAAGAAACGCTAAAAGAAAACAGGGGTATGATGAGAGAGACCGTGTCACTGTAGAGATCAAGGACGAGCAGGAACAAGAATGCGTGACGGAAGTACGAATACATGATAACAAGGATGGAATGTACAACATTAGTTATTATCCCCGGGTTCAAGGGACAATGAAGGTATTAGTTAAGGTAAACTGGGAACATATACATGAAAGTCCTGTTACTGTGACAGGAAGACCGTTCCATGCCAAACCTGTTTTCTCTTTTGGACAGAAAGGCCCTGGCAATGGTAAGTTTCACCGCCCTTATGGGGTGGCAGTGAATGACATGGACGAAATAGTAGTAGCTGACAATTGGAATCATTGTGTCCAAGTGTTTGACAGTAATGGTAATTTTCTAAGATCCTTTTGTCGCAGAGGAGAAAATCCAGGAGAGTTCGACTACCCTAATGGAATAGCCATTGACAAAGACCGAAATATTTTCATATCAGAATGGGGTAACCATAGAGTACAGATCTTTAGTTGGGAGGGGAGGTACCTGGGTTCATTTGGCGGCATAGGAAGCCTCGATAGTCAGCTCAAGTGTCCTCGGGGTTTATCCTTAGATAATACTGGTAATATTATTGTCGCTGATACAGGCAACAAGCAAATTAAGATTTTTACTCCGGATGGTAAGTTTGTAGTGAAGATAGGTGGGCAAGACTGTTTTACCGTTCCTTTTCACTGTGTTGAGTGTGACGGATTATTAATAGTGTTAGACCGTGCTCAAAGTTGTATCAAAGTATTTAAAAAGGAGGGACAGTTTCAGTACAAGTTTGGTAAGCAGGGGGAAGGGGACGGGGAGTTCATTTATCCACATTTTTTGTCTGTGACTCAGTCCAAGCATCTTTTGGTCTGTGATCTTGGTAATCACAGAATACAAGTCTTCGAACTGACTGGGAAGTTTGTAGAAAAATTCGGTACAAAAGGCAGCGAATTAGGAGAATTTAGTAGGCCATTTTCAGTAGCTGTACTAAGTAACGACCACATTGTTGTGTCTGATTTGGGCAATCATCGAATTCAAATATTTGAATAAAATCTGTCCATTTTCGACGGAAGAATGGCAAGCATCTCCATTTCCTCAACTTCTAGACTTAATATGAGAAATTCATTTTAAATATTACTTTTCGTACGTTCAAAGGTATCTGTCAGCTTTGAGTCGGTTTATTATATGGCTATAATAGCACGCGCTCTCTGATTGGCTGTTTTTTTGTAAGGACCGGCCATTATTAGCTAGGGGTCCAAGGCATAAACATTAATCTGTGACTTGATAGAGGACATCCTTATCGATATCCATGTTGTGGTCAATTGACAGCTGTCAAAAAATTATGCACTGACCAGTGTCACCTGACTGTTTCGCGGGCTCAAGTGTACAACCCATTGAGGTGACGTACTTTTTAAGTTCATGGTTTTAATTGATCGCAGGCTCAGGTCCATAATGAAAAGGCCAAATAATAAACCTAGTCCGTTCGGTCATTACAGGAAATGTCAGACCGAGGCCTCGATGTATTGACGGAGCGATAGCGAGGTCAATAAATCAAGGCCTCGATCTGAGATTTCCCTGTAATGACCTCATTCTCAGTTAATAAGTAATATGTATTGCTGTTGTTTCAACATTTTTACTGGTATAACCAACCTCGCCAGGGTCCCCAATAGGCTGAATAGGTTTCCTCGGGATCCAGGATTTAGCTTATTTGAAAGCTGCAGGGATTCAGGACGCAAACCTCTCAACTACATTATGGCGCAACACTAAGGGAGAGAAAACAAAATAGCAACTGAATTAAACTTTGCAATATAAACAAGAACATGTGGTGAACGGTTATTTGTGTAATCTCGTTATTACAGAGATATTAGAACCTCACTTGCCGACGAAATGTAAGGTTAACCGTGTTATAAGCGGAATGCGAGAAAAGTCATCTAATAGGCAAAAAATAATAAATTCTCCTATGGGGAAAAAACGGTTAAACTAGAACGGGAAAGACCCTTCTATCTTAGTTACTTCTTTTGATAGCTAAACACATGATACAATTTCTTTATATTATTTTACTACAACTTACAAGTTCTAGGGGTTGCGTTCATCAACCCCTTTTTTCCATTTAAGCGAAAATCATGTAATCAACATTGGAATTAGCCTACAGTTTGCATTGTTCCATGAGGGAATATTGTTAACATGAGGGATCCGCAAATTCTTGTTTGTTCAGTTTTTTCCAGGTTTTTTTCCCGATAAACAAGAACTCTTTACCTAAAGCACTTTGTTTTCTTTTAAGCAAGGAGTTTTCCCGCATCTATTTCTCGCCGCACGGTATATTGGGAAAGGTGCTCTGCACTCGTTCGTGAGGCAGATCCTTCCCATGATGCCATACGCTTTCAGTTTTACACGGCATAGAATCCAACCGAGCCAACTACGCGAAAGGGTTCAACTTTGCACATGCTCTATCCTAGTAACATTTATGGGTTTGGTGGAATTCAAGGGCTCAAGGGATAAAAAGAGTAAAATGCCATAAGTAGGCTAAGGGGCCACGCAAGAAAGATTAAGCACACACTTTAAAAAGAGTAAGCAGTTTTTTCTTAAATCTCTTTCATACTTGTAGGTTTCAGAAACAATCGTTTTTGCCCCATATTAATTCCTATTTTCAAAGGTTATGCAACAGTACCAACTCTCAAATTTTGAGCTTAGGGTTCCTTTGGTAACACATTGTGTTTAAATGCTGCTGACTGTGGGCCGAACACAAACGCGCGTTAAATTCAATTTGCATGGAAATTTAAGGCTGTGATTTCCACGTTGCCGTGCCTTAGAAAAGCTTAATCATTAAAGTATTAAGTATTGTCATTTTATAGGCTGGCCAGTATGGCTGTTGGGCTGGCTCGCTCCGGGTTATGGGCTCCTGCAAATAATCTTCTAGGATTTAACTTCCAATAAATCGAAAGCACATTCATCCAGTTTCATTGCAAGTACGTACATCGTACATCCATCCTTTTATTCAGAACCACTCTTAAAAGCCTACTATATCAGTACTATATTGAGACTTGATAAGAGAATGATGATGATGATGGTGATGCTTGTAAGACGAGATGATAATGCGAATGAAGATGTAAATATTCGAAATTAAGGTGTTTATAATGTTGGTGACTGATAATGATAACGATGGCGATGTGATGATGACGATGACAACGACGACGACGACGATGAAGATGAAGATAAGGATAATAGTGATGGCAATGATGATGATGATGTTGATGATGATGACGACGACGGCCATGACGACGACGACGATGATGATGATGATTATACCTGGATAGGTAAAACTGGTGGCTTTCCGTCCTAAACAACCTGAGAGACCAAAACCTACTGTTTACATCCTTAAAGCAAGACAGCAAACAATCCCGTCTCTTTTTTATGGGACTCTCCCACGAGTCGCGACACTTCAAGAAGTGAGTATTTTATAGGTAGACACATAGTATCATTGTGTAATGCTGCGATGCTCACGGTACGTCGCGCAATAAATTCGATTTTCACCTTTTAAAACTGTGGTTTTTACAAATTCGTGATTTAGAAAGGACAAATTGAAAAAGACGTCATTTTGTCATTGATTAACCACTATTTTGTTGTCATGTTTCACGATGATTGTCAATGTTATATTCACGCTATTCACGCGCTGAAGCTGGCGCGACAGGCACTCTATCAAAAACATTCTAGATGATGATTGGCTCGTAGGCCTTTCTTTCCGATAACTTAAAGCTAAAGATAGAAACATAAAAGACTGTTGAGTGCGGAACGCCGCGAAGGTCATTAGACTATATTTTGGAAAAACTTGACCTAGAAGAAGTTATCACGTCTTCTCACACATTCAACGCACTAAAAATCTAGAAAATGAAAGAACGGTAAAAATAAAAACTAAAAGTCTTGAGATATATTTCTCTCTTCGAGCATCAAACATTGAAGTAAGTTGAAAAGAGGTAGTGGATCTTTATCCAGTTTTATTCAATCCCTTAAGGGCAACAAGTTAAAATCGGTTTGAAATATATATGTATTGGCTCAATGCATGCAGCGGCTTTCCACCAACAGCTTTCTACCTTAATGCATGAATGACTCCACTCCGGGTCAGTTCTGGGAATCATAAACCACAAAAATAACAACAAGCCTCTCACAACAAGGCTCTTTGATTGGTTAATTCTCCTTTGAGATTCCGAGAAAGGCTAAATATAGACGATCACAAGACTTCATTGTTCAGTATGAACTGCTTCAAGGGTCACAGCTCACTTGTTGTTGACGACATCATGGACCTTACAACTTTGTTTTGCAATCTTCGCGAAGAAGTGTCTTGTTCGGTGTGTTCGGACTTATTTACGGATCCTAAACATCTCTCCTGTCTGCACAGTTTCTGCTTAAAGTGTTTGAAAAGATGGCACGAAACGGGCGGCGGCGGAGACGCCATTAGATGTCCGAAGTGCCAAACCTTCAGCCAAGTTCCCGCCAGCGGTAGCCTGCGTAGCATGGCGGTTTTGGTTGGGCGCGCTAAGTAATAAAGGCGGGCGAGGGCAGAGAAACCGCGAGGAGATTGGGGCGGAAGCAATTTGAAAAACCGCCTGCACGGACGGGGGCTTTTTTGAGTCGGTCCGCACGCCAGTGTACGGATCGTTCCGATTGGTTCGGAATGTTCGCCTGTCAATCAAATATTTTGGTTATCTCCCATGGGTTTCCCATGAGTTTCGAGGGACTGAACAAATCATCTCCGCAAAACAAAATCAAAATATCAAAGAAGCGCTGACCGGAGCGTCGTCGATCTTGAATATTTGACGGGAAAACAGGGCAATTGTATTGAAGCCTAAACAGGAAATGGCCATTTACAGTCTTCTTCAAAGGAGAGATGTCATGGAAATTTTGTCAACAAGATTTGGCAAGAGCATGATCTTTACTGTCTTTGCTATGGCCAAAGAAGAAATATCCTCATCGAAAACCTGTGTGATCACAATTTCACCTCTAAGAAGTACTATCGACGACCAGATATCTGAAATGTTGTCGCTGAGCTGTAAAGCAATGGACCTTATGACAGAAACAGTAAATTTCAGTGCTTCGAGAAAGTTCACCTCAATTTTCTCTATTACTCGGTGTTAGAGACTAACGCACTCCAGCGCAATAAATCGAACGGTGTCCGCAATTGTGGTCGATGAATCGCATACGGTAGAAGAAAGACGCGCAGCGTAATTCTCCATACTTTTTTGCTTGGTGTAGGTTAAACTACAACTCAAATCTGAAGATCGCGCTATACGTAAAAATACAACATCCTGCAAACAACACTTAAAAAGCCGGGTCCAGCGTCAAAACATTCACGGACAAAGCAGTGACAAAGAAACTACAAACCAAGGCTCCTTGGTTTGTAGTTGTCCAGATCCAGGCATTTTAGTCGGAAAAGACCAAAGAAACTAAAATATTTATTTAGCCGTAATAAAAAGCTTTAGGCTTAAAGGGTGGTCAAAGAAATTTATAGTACTTTCCAACTGCATCTGAGATCAACAAATTCTAATTAGCGAAAATAACATTAACCACAGGAAATAATTACTCAATACGGATTAAACAAACCAACTCCATGACCTCTAAATAAATGTAAGACTTACTGCAGCAAAAATAAGATCTACTCAGTCAAGTTTAGAACGCAGTGTAGTCACCTATGCGCGAGATAGCCACAAAGAAAAAAACCTGTGTTTGTTCAAGCAAACTCCAATTCCGGCCAAGGTCACGTTTTACACTATATAACGAGCTTTTCTGTCGTGTTTAGGCTGTCAACACTTTATTTCTGATTGGCTGGAAAAACTGAAACCAAACAAGTTGTCAACAGGATGTCAAAATGAGTTGAAGGGGGCGGCAGTTGAAAAGGCCACGAATCCGGGCAGGCGGTATTTAAAAACCAAAGGAAGAAGTCACTTGAAAGATTAACAGCGAAAAGAGGTGTGATTCAGCAACAGATAAATGTTATTGAATCATCATTGGAAGAAGCTGATTAACTTCTACAACGAAGCACCACCGCGGAAGTTGTTCAGCTTAAAAAAACACTACAAACAACCTTTAAGGGCGTGGATGAGACAAGGCCTATTGTTCATGACCCCAGCAGTCTGCAAGCGTTTGTTTTCGTAGAAAATAAGAAGATGCTTGATGTCGTCAACGGCGAAGAACTTGGATTCTTGGAAGAAGGTTACCGAACAAAAGCAAAAGAATCACTGGCTAAAGGCAAAGGACTGAAAGAAGGAACTGTTGGGCGTAAAGCTCAATTCAATTTGATCACAAGACGCCTAAAGTCGTTTCCGTGGGATGCGTTGGTCTATGGAAGCATAACAGCGTTCTATCTGAATTTGGAAAAATTAGGGAAACCGGAAAGATGTGTCATGTTATGAGCATCGATGAGTAGGTTACCTGTATGGGTTGGTTTAATGTGCTTATGACTGAATTTAGAGTAGCCTGCATGACAGGCTACTATTTCTCCCCAATCCACATCCCCTTTTTGCTTCCTCCTTATCCCCTACCCCTTTCGACACCTGCTACGCAAGCTAAATTTATAGTTGTCAGTGGTCGCAAGGATGGAGTTGATCTTGTTTTGATCTATCGCTAAGTAGTTATTTTCATAGCACGATTTGGATAAGAAAAAGAAGTTATTTTGCATCAAAACAAGGTTTACCCGTGCAACTTAAATTGGAATGTTAACGGAAACAAGTAATGGAGAACATGCGCATCATTATGATAATTATTAGCATTATGATAATGCTCTCTGATTAACCTGAACAGGAACTATATGTATAAAGATACGTCATATCTTGGTAGTAAGTAGCCACAGGTAACTTTTTCAAAGAGAAATAAACATTGTAGTTTTAGGTTAATGGAACAAAACAAAACAAAACATCCGCTTCCTTTATCCAGGGTGGAACCCAAAGTTACAAAGTTCGATAAAGTTCCAATGTTTCAATCCAAGATGAAAGTTTAATATTCCAAGATGCTCTTGATACGGTTAAAAATTAATTGCAATGTGTTTCCAACGTCTCAAAGTTAACATAGTTCCAATGATTATCCCTGATTCCAAGGTATAATAAGTTTTTTAAGGTCCTGATCCGTGTCCCATCCAGAAGTCCAATCCATGCCGAAAGCGAGTCGTCGATCGAAGAAGACAATATGTTCGCGATTTCACCGCCAATCGTCAAGGGTACGAGTTGAAATTTACGCGATTTAACCTCCCATCGTCAAGGTGTTTTCCATGAGAAAAGAAAAAAACTGAACTCTAGCTGTGCTCGGCAAAAACTGGCGAACTCCGAATAGAAAAATCTATCGGAAATCATAGCCCGCAACCAGACGCTACTAAAACCTTATGAAAAAGCTAGACCTAAACAAAAAAAAAAATCATGAAGGGAAGAAATAATTTGGCTTAGGTCGCCTTTCGTGACTTACCAGTATCCCGGAGGATTTCGCTGGTTATCAAGCCATCCTAAACCACGAGTGGCAAAACGCAAGGGCGACAAATTTGGCAAGGAACGTTCTGATTTCAACGTTCTTTAGAGGAAGCAAATCGATTAAAAATCTATACAGATTTTGTACAATCTGATTGGTCGGCTTGGAAGAAGAGATAATCGATAAAGATTTTAGGCAATCCTATTGGCTGGCTTTGCAATTTTGGGTACAACCGAACCGGATTTTTACCGTGGGAGTGCCACAGGCATCCCACGGAACAAGAAACGGAGAGGGAAAAAAGATGTATAATGAAGAGGACCTTGTAACGGTAGAGATCAAGGACAAGCAAGAACAAGAATGCGTGACGGAAGTAAGAATAGATGATAACAAGGATGGAATCTACAACATCATTTATTTTCCCAGCGTTCAAAGGACAATAAAGTTATTAGTTAGGGTAAACGGGGAACATATTGATGGAACTCCTTTTACTGTGATTGTAAACCCATTTCAAGTCAAACCTGTTTTATGTTTTGGAAAGAAAGGCTCGGGTGAAGGAATGTTCAATAATCCTCTGGGGGTGGCAGTGACTGCTAAAGATGAAGTAGTAGTAGCTGACAACCAAAACCATCGGGTTCAAGTGTTTGACAGTGATGGTACTTTCTTAAGATCCTTCGGTCACGAAGGTGAAAATGCTGGAGAGTTTAAGAATCATACAGGAATTGCCATTAATAAGGATAGAAATATTCTCGTGTCAGAGTATTGTAACCACAGAGTACAGATCTTTAGTTGGGAGGGGAGGCACCTGGGTTCATTTGGTGGCAAAGGAAGCCTTGATAGTCAGCTCCTTCATCCTTGGGGTTTATCCTTAGATAGTACTGGTAATATTATTGTTGCTGATACAGGTAACAAACTGATAAAGATCTTTACCCCGGATGGTAGGTTTGTAATGAAGATAGGTGGGCAGGGTTCTTTTAGTCTTCCTATTTATTGTGTTCAGTGTGGTGAATATTTCATAGTGTCAGACTCAACTGAACACTGTATCAAAGTATTTAACAGGGAGGGGCATTTTCAGTACAAGTTTGGTAAGATCGGGGAAGGAAACGGGGAGTTAAATTATCCACGTTTTCTTTCAGTGAGTCAGTTAAAGCACCTGTTGGTTTGTGATTGTTTTAATCATAGAATACAAGTCTTTGAACTAGATGGAAAGTTTGTAGGAAAATTTGGTACAAATGGCAGAAAATTAGGAGAATTTAATCAGCCATTCTCAGTAGCTATTCTAAGTAATGACCAAATTGTGGTGTCTGATCACAACAATAATCGAATTCAAATATTTGAATGACATCTTACCAGTTTTCCTTAGAATTATTACAAGCATCACTACTAGTCTTCTTCTAATTTCTAAGTGTAGTAGGATTCCGTCATTACAATCATTATTTTTCAATTTCTGAGAATCAAACGTTTTGTTTAGTTTATGTCAGTGTATGAATTGTTTTCTTGTAAGCAAGACAATCAGGGTTTTCTTGCATTCACATATCAAGTATCGCCCTTAGCGACGGATTACGATGTACCTACTCGTTTTCAGGCGTTTCAACAACTGTTCTTACGCTTTGCGCTTTGCGCATGGCATCTCTGGAAGGGTGCTCTGTCACCAATCATTCACGCCTTGCGTTTTGCATCCTTCCCATGACGCTTGGCCCTGAAAAATAAGCCGAACACAAATCCAAGTATATTCTGTGGCCAAATATAGACCCCATCTTTGTCATTGTTGGGAAAATTTTATTTTCACTATCCCATTTAGGTAACTTTCTGTTTAGGCATCTACCTTTTAAAGCCTTTTAACTAGGTCATCGTGAAATGGATTGACACATTGGTTTAACCCTTTAAGCCCTAAGAGTGATCAGCGTCAAATTTCTCCTTGTAATATCACTGCTTTATAAAACACAGTGGTCATGAGAATTGAGGGCCTGATCACACAAGATGAATCTAATTGATACTTCAACAAATTCTGCCCACTGCTTCTATTGAAAACATATAGGGACAACAAATGAGAATTTGAATTTTGATATTAGGGTTTAAATGGTTAACTTATGTACAAACGTATAACAATATAGATAAGCGTAGCCACTCTGTAATAGAAAAAAGGTCGGGAAATAAATATTTTACCTCTTAAGTAACTCTATGTGATATGCAGTTATTTGTCTAATCATTCCACTTCAGAGATATTAAATATAAGTAATCCATTCTACCATGCTTGGAACCTGACAATGCCCAACAATAGTGCAAATCACTTACATTCCAAGCGCTCGCTAGTAATTGTACAACCCTTTATGTTTCAATTTATTCTTTGAGGCAATCTATTTCTCTTTTCTTTTACGGTCGTTCCCGTACTTCTGCTTTGGCTCGATAGGTTGATGTAAAAAAGTAGTTGAGATCAAAACTCATGAAAAACAGACTGGAAGTAGGAGAGGCAGACTGAGGTGTTTTTAAAAAAGATTAGCTCCTTTTGAGTGCGTCCTGCGATTAATTATCTCATTTAATACATCGTTTTCCTTAAGTGTTGCACGTTGAAAGCAATCTAAATTGTTGAACTCTTCTTTGGTACGAGAAGTGCAATGAAAGCGCTCTAGGCCTGATCCATTTTTTTCGGATTTTCACTAGATCGTAAGTGCTTTCATGACATTGTAAAGGTTGTTTTTCACTGACGTAGGAGTCCTAGAGAGGGGGAGAGGGTACTCCCTTTAACGGCCTATACGTGGAGGCTCCGCCCGAAAGGGGGTACCTTTTGTATACTTAAGTCCAAAAGGGTGGGGATTTCACTAGTTGTAGTATATGAAAGGGTAGGGAAAGCTGTTCGGTCCGTAAAAGGACCTAAAAGGGTTGACAGAAGGATTTTGCGGCTGTGGGGGAGACAAGAAAACTTCCTGGTTTAGTGAGTGCTCCCCTCCTCCTGTCGGAGGTTAGAGTAGCAATCGGAGAATGTTAGTTATTGTGAAAGAATAAAGTAGCTGTACTTAATTAGAGAGCGAGAATTTTCTGTCTCTGATGGTTTTTTGTGAATGTCAACGTTCCTGGAAACGTTTGAGCTGGCCTCCTTAACCCTTTAAGGTGGCTCGATACAGTTTTTCAGGGCCAATACCTCCCAAGTTTGAGCATAAACTACGTCGCCATAAACAAAGTTTTGGAAAAATTGCCACCACAGTTGTATTAGATAAAGATGAAAATCTTTTATGATCAGGGTTGCAATAACATCAGAGTTGTCATAGCAACGAAATGACGCTATTACCTATTTAAACTTACAGAAGTAATTCCCGGCACTGAGAACTGTTCTTCCAAAATTATTCACGGGAGCTTTTTCCTCCAATAGCCGCCTCGATGTTCTTGAAGTTTAAGCGAAATCTGTAAGAGCGTTATCGAGATATTTTGGGATGAAGTTTTTATGATTAGAAACACAGTAAAAAATGGACTATATTGTTGTTTGGCCGTTATCTGTAGAAAATGAAGCGCTTTTGACATGCAATTTCACCTGATAGTAGTTTCAATATTTTTAAAAACGTGTGTGAAGGATCATGGAGATAGCTCCAGCCGATTGCTATAGAGAAGGGTTTTATTAGTATGTATCGAAGCGCTCTTGTTAGCAGTTTTGTAAGCATTTTGGTCTTCTTTAAGAAATTAGCGAATAATTTTTAAACCGCTCGATAGATTTTTTTTAAAATTTAAGATTCTTGAGATTAACCTTTTTTTTATATGACCTTTTAGTTTCAAGATTATTGATACATTGTAAGGCAGTAAAATAAGGGCTACAACTCGTTACTTTTTTATCGGAATTTCGTTATTACAAGTGAAAGCCACTCATTATTCAAGGCGTTGTCTCCAAGTTTCATTTTCACGTGAACAACAGTAACTAACAATGCATTTGACATATGCAAAAATGCTAGCTATTGTTATGCGCGAAAATATGAAACTTGGAGACAATACCCTGAATAATGAGAGGCTCACATTTGTAAACACAAAATTTCTGCCAAAATATTGGCGAACTGTAGCCCTTATTTTACTGCCTTACAATATATCAATAATCTTGAAACTAAAGGGTCATATAAAAGGAAGGTTAATCTCAAGAATCTTATTTTTTTTTAAAAAAATCTATCGAGTGGTTTAAAAATTATTCGCTAATTTGTTAACGTAGACCAAAATGTTCAAAAACCGCTAACAAAACGCCTCGATACATACTAATCAAATCCTTCTCTCTAGCAATCGGCTGGAGCTATCTCCACGGTCTTTCACACACGTTTTTAAAAAGATTGAAACTACTCTCAGGTGAAATTGCATGTCAAAAGCGCTTCATTTTCTACAGATAACAGCCGAACATCAAGATTATCCATTTTTTACCGTATGCCTAACCACAAAATCTTGATCCCAAAATATCTCGATAACGCTCTTACAGATTTCGCTTAAACTTCACGAACATCGAGGCGGCTATTGGAGGAAAAAGCTCCCGTGAATAATTTTGGAAGAACAGTTCTCAGTGCCGAGAATTACTTCTGTAAGTTTAAATAGGTAATAGCGTCATTTCGTTGCTATGACAACTCTGATGTTATTGCAACCCTGATCATAAAAGATTTTCAGCTTTATCTAATACAACTGTGGGGGCAATTTTTCCAAAACTTTGTTTATGGCGACGTAGTTTATGCTCAAACTTGGGAGGTATTGGCCTTGAAAAACTGTATCGAGCCACCTTAAACCCCAATATCCACATACAAATCCTCCAAACTGGTCTCTATACATTTTCATATTGAATACGTTGAGAGAATTTGGAAGAAGATGAAAGCATTAGCCTGTCCCTTTGGTGCTTTTTTCATCAATTCTCACAACCTTATCTCATGATTGTGTACTGATATTGTTTAGAGAAATTTGATGTTTGTCACTTTTGGGACTGAAAGGGTTAATGTCTTTCACAAATCGATATATTGTTTCTGTTCCGTTTATCATGCTTACTACTCACAAATTACTAGACAACGCGCAGTATTAACATTCAAATTTCATCTTTTAAAGCTGTGGTTTCACGCTCTGATCGTGCTTTACAAAGGCTTCACAGATTTCACTTTGTTATTAACCATTGTTTTGTATTCAGGTTTCAAAATGATTGTCATTTACGGTACTCACGCGCTGAAGCTGGCCCGACAGGGTGGGCCTCTAACAACAGCGTTCCGTGATTGGTTCCTTAGAAGATAAAAAGCTGCAAGGCTTGATTGAATGGTGCATATTTGCTACTCAGCTCATAATGTATCTGAAGTAAGTCTAATTGTGACTGGATCTTACAATTATTTTCAATCCTACCAAGAGACTTTCTGTTTAAATTTGAAATATCATCCAGTTCACGCATTTTATCGCAGTGATCTTAACTCGGGGGATTTCATTTCTGGGAGTTATAAACCACGAAAACAATAACAACCCTCTCACAACGAGGCTCTTTGATTAGTTCATTCTCTTTTGAGATTCCGAAACGCTAAACATAAAGACAATCACAAGACTTCACTGTTCAGTGTGAACTGCTTCAAGGGTCACGGCTCACTTGTGGTTGACGACATAATGGACCTTACAACTTTGTTTCACAATCTTCATGAAGAAGTGTCTTGCTCAGTGTGTTCGGACTTATTCACAGATCCTAAACATCTCTCCTGTCTGCACAGTTTCTGCTTAAAGTGTTTGAAAGGATGGTACCAAACGTGCGGGGGCGGAGACGCCATTAGATGTCCGAAGTGCCAAACCTTCTGCCAAGTTCCCGCAAGCGGTGATCTTAAAGATCTTCCCACCAGCTTTTATTTAAACGGCTTGATAGATGTTCTTGCCATTAAAGAATGCAAAAACACTCAGGTGACATGCGGAAACTGCGACAAGAAGAGCTCAGAAGCTTCGTATTGTTTCCAGTGTTGTATATTTTATTGCGAAGAATGCTTACTCGGTCATAACATCATGCGAGACAATAAGGAACACCGCGTTTTGGCCGTAAAAGAGTTCCAAGACAGGGACTATGAAGATGTGTTAAAGCGACCAGTATTTTGTTCAAGACAAGGACACCAGAAAGAGGAGCTGAAATTATTTTGCAAGGAATGTGAGACGGCAGTTTGCCAAACTTGCGTCATGCTAGACCACAAAGTTCATAAGTTAACGCTGATCGAGGAAGAAGCTGCGAATCAAAGACTCGAGATAAAAACTGCTATCGAAACACAACGACATAACTTAAACGAAAAACTGAACGTTGTCACTAAGCTAGATGAAGATTATGCTAAAGTGATTCAACGGAACGAAACTTTGAAGGGCGATGTCCAAAGGTTTGCTGACGGGTTGATAAAAACAATTAAAGCAAAAATGCAAAATGTTATTGACGCGATGGAAAACCAAACGAAGAAGTCACTTGAAAGATTAACAGCAAAAAAAGGTGAGATTCAGCAACAGATAAATGTTATTAAATCATCGCTGGAGGAAGCTGATAAACTTCTAAATCGAAGCACCACCACGGAAGTCGTTCCGCTTAAAAAAACACTGCAAACAATCTTTCAGAGAGTGGATGAGACAGAGCCTTTCGTTCATGACCGCAGCAGTCTGAAAGCGTTTGTTTTCGTAGAAAATCAGAAGATGCTTGATGTCGTCAACGGCGAAGAAATTGGATTCTTGGAAGAAGGTTACCGAACAAAAGCAAGCAAATCTCTGGCTGAAGGTGAAGGAAAGAAAGAAGGAACTGTTGGGCGTAAAGCGCAATTCAATTTGATCACAAGAAACGCAGTGAGAAAAAAGGTGTATAATGAAGAGGACCGTGTGACGGTAGAGATCAAGGACGAGCATGAACAAGAATGCGTGACGGAAGTAAGAATAGATGATAACAAGGATGGAATCTACAACATCAGTTATTTTCCCAGCGTTCAAAGGACAATAAAGTTATTAGTTAAGGTAAACGGGGAACATATTCATGGTAGTCCTTTTGCTGTGACTGTAAAACCATTTCAAGTCAAACCTGTTTTATCTTTTGGAAAGAAAGGCTCGGGTGAAGGAATGTTAAATTATCCTATGGGGGTGGCAGTGAGTGATAGGGACGAAATAGTAGTAGCTGACACTTGCAACCATCGGGTTCAAGTATTTGACAGTAATGGTACTTTCTTAAGATCCTTTGGTCATAAAGGAGAAAATGCTGGAGAGTTTAAGAATCCTACAGGAATTGCCATTAATAAGGATAGAAATATTCTCGTGTCAGAGTGTTATAACCACAGAGTACAGATCTTAAGTTGGGAGGGGAGGCACCTGGGTTCATTTGGCGGCAAAGGATGCCTTGATAGTCAGCTCTCTTACCCTTGGGGTTTATCCTTAGATAGTACTGGTAATGTTATTGTTGCTGATACAGGTAACAAACTGATTAAGATCTTTACCCCGGATGGAAAGTTTATAATGAAGATAGGTGGACAGGGTTCTTTGAGTTATCCTGTTCACTGTGTTCAGTGGGGTGAATATTTCGTAGTGTCAGACTCTAATGAACACTGTATCAAAGTATTTAACAGGGAGGGGCATTTTCAGTACAAGTTTGGTAAGACGGGGGAAGGAAACGGGGAGTTTAATTATCCACGTTTTCTGTCAGTGACTCAGTCAAAGAACCTGTTGGTTTGTGATCAGAATAATCACAGAATACAAGTCTTTGAACTAGATGGGAAGTTTGTAGGCAAATTCGGTACAAATGGCAGCAAATTAGGAGAATTTAATGAGCTATTCACAGTAGCTGTTCTAAGTAATGATCAAATTGTGGTGTCTGATCGCAACAATAATCGAATTCAAATATTTGAATGACATCTGACAAGTTTTCCTAAGAATTATAACAAGCATCACCAGTGGTCTTTTTCTAATTTCTAAGTGTAGTGGGATTACGTCATTACAATCACTATTTTTCAATTTCTTAGAATCAAACGTTTTGTTAAGTTTAGCTCAGTGTATGAATTGTTTTCTTGTAAGCAAGACAATCAGGGCTTTCTGGCATTCACATATCAAGTATCGTCCTTAGCGAAGGATTACGATGTACTTACTCGTTTTCAGGCGTCCCGAGCACTGTTCTTACGCTTTGGGCTTTACGCATGGTATCTCGGAAAGGGTGCTCTGTCACCAATCATTCGCGCCTTGCGTTTTGCATCCTTCCCATGACACTTGGCCCTGCAAAACAAGCCGAACACAAATCCAAGTATATTCTGTGGCCAAATATAGACCTTATCTTAGTCACTTTTGGGAAAATTTAATTTTCGCGATCCCATTTTAGTAACTTTCTGTTGAGGCATCTACTTTTTAAAGCCTTTTAACTACAGTAGGTCATCCTGAAATGAATTGACACATTTAAGTCCTAAGAGTGATCAGCGTCAAATTTCTCCTTGAAATATCACTGCTTTATAAAACGCAGTGGTCATGAGAATTGAGGGACTGATCACACAAGATGAATCTAATTGATACTTCAACAAATTCTGCCCACTGCTTCTATTGAAAACATATAGGGACAACAAATGAGAATTTGAATTTTGATATTAGGGTTAAAGGGTTAACTTATGTAGAAACGTATAACAATATAGATAAGCGTAGCCACTGTGTAATAGAAAAAAGGTCTTGAAATAAATTTTTTACCTCTTAAGTAACCCTGTGTTATATGCAGTTATTTGTTTAATCACACCAATTCAGAGATATTAAATATAAGTAATCCATTCTACTATGCTTGGAACCTGATAATGCCCAACAATAATGCAAGTCGCTTACATTCCAAACGCTAGCTAGTAATTGTACAACCCTTTATGTTTCAATTTATTCTTTAAGGCAATCTACTTTTCTTTTCGTTTGCAGTCTTTTTCGTATTTCTACTTTGACTCGGTGGGTTGATGTAAAAAAGTAGTTGAGATCAAAATTTATGAAAAACAGACTGGAAGTAGGAAAGGCGGACTGAGGTGTTTTTTAAAAAAACATTGGTTGCTTTTGAGTGCGTCCTGCGATTAAATATCTCATTTAATAAGTCGTTTCAGCCTTAAGTGTTGCACGTTGAAACCAACCTAAATTGTTGAAGTCTTCTTGGTTCGAGAAGTGCAATAAAAACGTTCCAGGCCTGATCCATTATTTGCGGATTTTCACTAGATCGTAAGTGCTTTCATGACATTGTAAAAGTTGTTTTTCACTGACGTGAGAGTCCTGGAGAGGGGGAGAGGTTCCTCCCTATAATGGCCCATACGTGGAGACCCCGCCCGAAAGGGGGTACCTTTTGTAGGCTTAAGTCCAAAAGGGTAGGGATTTCACTAGTTGTAGTATATGAAAGGGTAGGGAAAGCTGTTCAGTCCGTAAAAGGACCTAAAAGGGCTGACAGAAGGATTTTGTGGCTGTGGGGGAGACAAGAAAACTTCCTGGTTTGGTGAGTACTTCTCTCACCCTGTCGGAGGTAAGAGTCGGAATCGGACAATGTTAGTCACAAAGAATAAAGCAGCTGTACTTAATTAGAGAGCGACAATATTCGGTCTCTGTTGGTTTTTTGTGAACGTCAACGTTCCTGGAAACGTTCGAGCTGGCCTCTTTAACCCTTTACGCCCCAATTTCGACAGACAAATTCTCCAGACTGGTCTCTATACATTTTCATATTGAATACGTTGGGAGAATTTGGTAGAAGATCAAAGTATTAGCCTGTCCCTTTGGTGATTATTTCATTAATTCTCACAACCTTTTCTCTTGATTGTGTATTGATATTGTTCGGAGAAAATTGATGTTTGTTACTTTTGGGAATCAAAGGGTTAATGTCTTTCACAAATCGATAAATTGTTTCTGTTCCCTTTATCATGCTTGGTTTACTACTCACAAATTACTAGACAACGTGCAGGATTAAAATTCAAATTGCATCTTTTAAAGCTGTGGTTTCACGCTCTGATCGTGCTTTAGAAAGGCTTCACAGATTTCACTTTGTTATTAACCATTGTTTTGTATTCAGGTCTCAAAATGCTTGTCATTTCCGGTACTGGAACTCTAACATAAGCATTCCATGACTGCTTCCTTAGAAGATAAAAAGCTACAAGGCTTGATTGAATGGTGCATATTTGCCACTCAGATCATAATGTATCTGAAGTAAGTCTAATTGTTACTGTATCTTACAACTATTTTCAATCCTACCAAGAGAGTTTTTGTTTAAATTTGCAATACTATCCAGTTCGCGCCTTTTGTCACACAGGTCTTACCCCTGGGGATTTCATTTCTGGGAATCATAAACCACGAAAACAATAACAACCCTCTCACAACGAGGCTCTTTGATTGGTTCATTCTCTTTTAAGATTCCGAGAAACGCTAAACATAGACAATCACAAGACTTCATTGTTCAGTGTGAACTGCTTCAAGGTTCACGGCTCACTTGTGGTTGACGACATAATGGACCTAACAACTTTGTTTCACAATCTTCGTGAAGAAGTGTCTTGTTCGGTGTGTTCGGACTTATTTACGGATCCTAAACATCTCTCCTGTCTGCACAGTTTCTGCTTAAAGTGTTTGAAAGGATGGTACGAAACGTGCGGCGGCGGAGACGCCATTAGATGTCCGAAGTGCCAAACCTTCAGTCAAGCTCCCGCAAGCGGTGATTTAAAAGATCTTCCAACCAGCTTTTATCTTAACGGCTTGATCGATGTTCTTGCCATTAAAGAATGCAGCAAGTCTCAAGTCAAATGCGGAAACTGCGACCAGAAAACTTCGGTAACATCGTATTGTTTCCAGTGTTGCATATTTTATTGTGAAGAATGCTTAATCGGTCATAACATCATGCGAGACAAAAAGGAACACCGCGTTTTGGCCGTAAAAGAGTTTCAAGACAAGGACTACGAGGATGTATTGAAGAGACCAGTATTTTGTTCAAGACAAGGACACCAGAAGAAGAAACTCAAATTATTTTGCAAGGAATGCAAGACGGCCGTTTGTCAAACTTGTGTCATGCTAGATCACAATGGTCATAAGTTAACGCTGATTGAGGAAGAAGCTGAGAATCAAAGACTCGAGATAAAAACTGTTATTGCAACACAACGACATAAATTAGACGAAAAAATGAATGTAGTCGCTCAGCTAGATAAAGATTACGCAAAAGTGATTCAGCAGAGCGAAACTTTGAAGGACAATGTCCAAAGGTTTGCTGATGGGTTGATAAAGACAATTCGAGCAAAAATGCAAAATGTTATTGACGCGGTGGAAAACCAAACGAAGAAGTCACTTGAAAGTTTAACAGCAAAAAGAGGTGAGATTCATCGTCAGATAAAGATTATTGAATCATCACTGGAGGAAGCTGATAAACTTTTAAAACGAAGCACCACCGCGGAAATTGTTCAGCTTAAAAAAACACTCCAAACAATCTTTCGGGAGGTGAATGAGACAGAGCCTATTGTTCATGATCGCAGAAGTCTGCAAACTTTTGGTTTTGTAGAAAATGAAAAGATGCATGATATTGTGATCAGCGAAGATATTGGATTCTTGGAAAAACCCGCTTATAGAACAAAAGCCCATGAATCTTTGGCTGAAGGTGAAGGACTGAAAGAAGGAACTGTTGGATGGAAAGCTCAATTCAATTTGATCACAAGAAACGCAGAGAGAAAGCAGGGGTACGATCAAGGGGACCGTGTAACGGTAGAGATCACGGACGAGCAAGAACGAGAATCCGTGACGGAAGTAAGAATAGATGATAGCAAGCATGGAATCTACAACATCAGTTATTTTCCCAGAGATCAAGGGACAATAGAGTTATTAGTTAAGGTAAACGGGGTTCATATTCATGGTAGCCCTTTTGCTGTTATTGTAAAACCATTTCAAGTCAAACCTGTTTTATCTTTTGGAAAGGAAGGCTCGGGTGATGGAATGTTTAATTATCCTCGAGGGGTGGCTGTGAGTGATGGGGATGAAATAGTAGTAGCTGACTGCAATAACCATCGGGTTCAAGTGTTTGACAGTAATGGTACTTTCTTAAGATTCTTTGGCCGCGAAGGTAATTATGCTGGAGAGTTCAAGTATTCTGTTGGAGTAGCCATTAATAAGGACAGGAATATTTTCGTGGCAGACACTAACAACCACAGAATACAGATCTTTAGTTGGGAGGGGAGGCACCTGGGTTCATTTGGCGACAAAGGAAGCCATGATAGTCGGCTCACCTACCCTTGGGGTTTATCTTTAGATAGTACTGGTAATGTTATTGTTGCTGATACAGGTAACAAACTGATTAAGATCTTTACCCCAGATGGTAGGTTTGTAATGAAGATAGGCGTGCAGGGTTCTTTTAGTCTTCCTGTTCACTGTGTTCAGTGTGGTGAATATTTCATAGTGTCAGACTCAAATGACCACTGTATCAAAGTGTTTAACAGGGAGGGGCATTTTCAGTACAAGTTTGGTCAGCAGGGGCAGGGGGACGGGGAGTTTAATAATCCACGTTTTCTGTCAGTGACTCAGTCAAAGCACCTGTTTGTTTGTGATCAAGGTAATCATAGAATACAAGTCTTTGAACGAGATGGGAAGTTTGTAGGAAAATTTGGTACAAATGGCAGCAAATTAGGAGAATTTAATCATCCAATCTCAGTAGCTGTTCTAAGTAATGATCAAATTGTGGTGTCTGAGTACAATAATAATCGAATTCAAATATTTGAATGACACCTGACCAGTTTTCCTAAGAATTATGACAAGCATCACCAGTAGTCTTTTTCTAATTTGGGCCCACAATGTAAACTACTGGACTAACCAGTAATTGTGTAAGCGAATAAAGTTTTATTTATTTATGTATCTAATTTCTAAGTGTAGTAGGATTACGTCATTACAATCAAGTGATCCCCCCTAAATTCCTTCCCCCCTCGGCGATAAATCCAGTCCCTTACCTCAAGGTCTGGATCCCCGACTGCATACTGTTATTAGAGAGTTTTAGATCCGAGTTTACCGCGAACCTCTAACCGCGGTTTGAGGTTACCCGTTTGCGGTTCGACGTTCAAACATAATTCGATTTAGATTGGCGGGCCGATTGGCGGTAGATTAGATTACGGCCGCCATTTTGAATCAGCAGCCATGAGTGGCACTTGTTTTCAAGATCCAATAGGATTTATCAAATTTAGTATTTCGCCCGAATTTGTGCCTCTGTTGATGGATAAAGACTTGCTCCACAAGATTTTTGTTTCATTACGTGGGATAAAACAAGAATTATACGCTAAAAGCTTTCAGGTAAATGACATACGTGAAAACCTACCTCCCAACGTAGAAAACGCACGTCGTAAACCTCAAAACGTGACGCGAAAGACTTGTCACGTGATCTCCAGCGGTTAGAGGTTCGCGGTAAACTCGAATCTAAAACTCTCTATTGATTGATTGCCTTCGCGAAAATCAAAATAAGAAGTAACCGTTCAATAGTAGGAGGCCTACAGTGTACCACAAAAAGAATAACAAAATAATTTTTTTTATCCTAATTAACCATTTGTGATATGCAGTTATTTGTGTAATCTAGAGTTATTATAGAGATAGTAAATATTGTACTTATCGAACAAAGGTCATGTTGCAATCCTTGAATTGTAGTACTGTATAAGGGTTTCTGTTGTTATTCTTTGTACTTTTTTTTCTGTTATTATTGTCAATAAAGTAAACAACAACAACAACTTATTCTATGCTTGCAACATATCAGTACCCAACGATAATCCGAGTTTCCCATGTTCCAAGGGTTAGGAAAAAATGAAAGAAAGAAAGAAAGAAAGAAATAGAGTTTCATTGGTAAAGGGTCAAGCCAATATCTATTCATGAATGAATGAATAAATTAAATAATTAATTACTTGATTGAATGAATTAACTTAATTTATACACGGTAGTAATTTCAATATACAAAATTGGTTTTCAAATTAGCCTTGTGAACAATTCTATGACCTAATACTAACCATATGAGAATGTTTAACACTATTGTTACAACTACTAAAAGTAGAAGGAGTATGAAGTATTTGTTTAAAAATAATGATAATAAAATACCTAATGCAATTAATTATCATGGTGGTCTCTCAAGTACGCTGTGAACCTATTTAATGTCTCTTACATGATTGGGAAGTTCATTCCATGCAATTACCTCACGATAAGCAAAAATTATTTTTAATGAGTCCTTTTTAGGTTTGGACAACTGAGACGTCTTAAAGACTAAAAGTGATATATATATATTTTTAAGGGAACTAAGCAGCAGTCCAAAATGGGTAAGTTTACTCTTTCTTGTGTCCTATTGTAGTCAACAACTGATCGAGACTACATTGTAGGGTTTGGGAGAAAGTGTCCGCAGTTGCATTTTTGGAGGTGTATTCTGTTTTTGTAAGAGAGTATAGTAATGGCTTTCGATTTCTAGAATTTTCTTTCGCGTTTCGCCCGGCATGTTTTAAAGGGTGACCTACAGTCAATGTTTGCGTCGTTGCTGGTTCGTTTTTTGCCAGAGGCGAGCGCGGAACGCCAGTGACACGCGAGTGACTGCTGACGAAGAGCAAGGGACCATGGGAAGGAGAAAAATGATAGGCGAAGCACATCTTACCCTCCCTCCTTCCTGCCTAGTTTGCGCGCAAATTTTCATTGAGTGAGAGACGTCTGTGTACGAGGCAACCTATGAAATGTGTTACTAGGATAAAGAACTATGAATTGAAAAAAAATCATTTCCGTGAGGCCTTGCCTGCGAAACAAGCCAACTGCGCAACGTGTATACAAGAGGCGCAAACAACGTCGTACAAAAAAACTAAGGCCTAGAAGAAATGGAAGTGGAGTGTATAATAACAGGAGCCAATCTAATAAAATAAAGCTGCTCTCGCTCTCTTTTCTCTCGTCCGTCCTATTTGTTTTGTTTGTGTTTCTTCTCTCTTACGGTACTCTAATTAATCTTGTTGGTACCGGGCTAAAGTTAGAGAGACAACAGTGGGAGCGGGAAATAGGGGGTTATGGCTGTTATAACGCGAATGAAAAACAAAAAGCAAGCATTCCTTGATTCGCTGTCATTCCGGAGTATTAACAAAAGTTACACATCTAATCTTCGTTTGTGAAATAAAAGCAAATTGGTCATGGTCATGTCGTGGGATTTGGTCCATGGGCTCAATAGTCAGATCAACTTTTAAATATGTCTACTTTAATTAACTGTGTTAAGTAACCTATTAATTAAAACACTTTCATAAGCGGATGAACTTAAAAAAAATGGCTTAAGGACATTAACTGACTTGCGATACACATATCACATTTCCATCAAGTGAAAATTTAATCATGCAGTAATAATAAACACGAACAGATTTCCACGTTGGTCATTGACCCACCGTTTGGTTTGTTTGCCAGCATTATCTCCGTACAATAGCAATCGGATGGTAGGTTTCCTTAATGCATTAACAGATTTGTTGAACATTCTAACAATACTCACATTGTAATCTTGTCGGTTACTGTTCTACAACTGGCGTTTGTTTTACCAACAATAAAACATTTTTCGAATACTTCTCTCGGATCGAACATCCAATCAACTAAAAGATCCATAGAATCATTGCATCGACTGTTATCCTTGGGTATCGTAGAGGAATTTCTCTGTGACAAGTGGACTTTTCACTCAAGAAAACACGCAATTGGAAATCAGTTAATCGAAATACCGGAATATCTAATCAATAGTGTTTGTGCTAATCTATAAACAAATGGCCTCCAGTCAAAGGTGTATCACTCTTACTAGACTAATGTGTTTACTTTACAACGTATTCTGATGCAAAACTTGTCAACTTCCTTTGTGCCTCCGAAATGCTTCTGTCACAGTTATTTTAAGGAAAGGAAAATACGCTTTGAAAGAAAAACATTAAACAGCTTCAAAGATTTCCGTTTGTTAATGGGAAATGCGAAATTAATGCCTAATCACATTATTGGCCAAGGGTAGTGGAGACAGAGGGTGTCAAATCTGATCGAACACCCGATCGAGCTCTAAAATAACTGCTAATTGACTTAAATGCGATTACGTGTTAAATAGGTGTGCTTTTTAAAGTTAGGCGATTTCCTAAAGTATTTCTGCACGAACCATCTCTTTTGTTAAAACGTTATATCCTCATTGAACTCTCTCAAGATATATCATGAATATAAGTAATGCGAAGTGCTATAACAGTTCTATGATCTTAATGCAACATAATGGCATATATTATTTTTTCATGATAGTTTTGTATAGTGTCTAGAAACGAATCTTTGGGTTATTTGCGGTGATGTTAGCATGTCAACGCGAAAAGCGCCTTATTTGATTGCTGGTTGGTTATCTTTTTACGCGCAGGGGAGATCTTTTAAGCCGGACTCAGTGGGATTTTTCTAAAACTAAAATTATATGAATGAACCGAAAATAGTTTGATTTTGTCATCTGATCTGATACGGAAAGTAAAGACCACAAAAATCAACAAATCAACGCTAATGGATCAAACGTGACGGCAAACAAAGACGTGTCAACAAAACTTGTATGCGGAGAACAGAATTGCTACACTAAGGCTGGTTCCATTCTCGTCAATCGTGCGTGCACATTTTTCATCGCTTTTGTCTCCGTGAAAATCAAAACCAAGCGTGAAGAAGCTAAATGAACTACGAGCAAAGACCAGATGATCGCCCTAGGGTAGCTTCGTTTCTTATTGACGATATCCTGGCCCCACAAGCTGTTTCCTCTGTGCCATTATGCAGCCCGAGTCAGCCAACGCCAGAGATTGCAAATTTAAGGATTCCCCCCACCGGAACCACCACGGAGAGCGCCTTTTCACCTAGCCAGCCCTTTGCTACATCTTGCCTTCAATGCTACGGTAACATTTATCATGTTTTCAGTTCTGTTTTGGTTTCCAGTAAGAAACTGTGAAAAATTCTCTCAAATATTCGGTCATTTTCTTAGTGTTGACTGAGACCCTTACATTGCGAAATTACTCAGTTCTTTATTGCTTATATTATCTCCCCGGCAATATAACTTACTAACAGTATATAGTGTGCTAAATAATTGTTTCTCAAGAAGAAAGTCTGAATGAGTTTTCGGACCCATGCGGAAAAGTTCAAAACACGGTGTTGGCCAAGTTTAACACGAACCTTGTTTTTCTTTCCCTTTGTTTGCACTGCCCGATTTCACTTTTCTTTTGGCGGTTGCAAAATTGTCTTTCAGTTAAATGGAATATGACAACGGAATAACAACATTTTAACTTAAACACTGCCTTTCCGTGAGATAATGGGGTTACATACCTTTGTTTGATATAGAGATATTTTACTGTATACTGAATACTGCTTGCTGTAGACATTGATTTGAACGGAAGTCAATGTAATTTGCCTTGTTTAACAACTGATACCACACTGTAAGCTTAATCGCGGATATTCAATTTCTCAGACTCTTAACTGAAAAAATTGCTTCTGAGATAAACTAGGTGCTCATCTCGCTACATTACCGCTCAGCTTTTGTTTAAAACATGGTCGACTCGCTTTTCACATTCTTCTTTCTTTTGTTAGAAACAAAATCTTTCACTAATTGTCACTCTTTCGCAAGAGATGAAAGCCCTAAAGCCATTTTCAGTGTTTCACGATTTATCTTCATTTTCTGCGCAACTTTGAACTCTCGTTCACGGTTTTGTTCTTGAAGCTTGGCCGCCATTTTGCATCCAAAAATGCACGCAAAACTATTGTAT